GACAAAAGCCCCTTGACGTTCTGGGGTGCTAGGCCTGCCGCCTAGGGACCGGCTAGTGTTTTTTAAAGCCTTGGGCCCGCATTTATAAAAAACTTCATTAAGGGAGCACCAAGATGAGTCCTTTGTGCCAAAATTTTAGATTTAACTAAAAATCACTAGATCTAACAACTAGGAGCACTAGATCTTACAAAAAGTAGTTATATTTTTCACATTTTGAAGTTCAGAAAATTGGGTTTTTTTTTGCCTGATTTTGGACATGCCAATTTTTTCGATTTTGGTGCTGATCTGTTATGAAAATTGAAGCCTAGAATCATCTTTGTGTTCTTGATCCACGCATAGGCTAGTTCATCCACAAATTTTTCTTTTTAAAATGGAATTTACAGATCTTAGTTTTCGATTTTTTATTAATTCTCTTTTTTCCTATTTTTACTTTTTTTCATAATTTGCATTATTTTATAAGCCATAACATCAATTTTTTTATTTCATGTTTCATATACATTTTCTTTTTCTTTTTTTTTCCTATTTTCCCCAATTTTTTGTATTATTGCCCTTTTCTTTTTGGCCCTTTTTGGGCTTGGGCAGAACTTGGGCGTGTCCACTTGGACTTACCCGAGTTGCTCAGCTCGGGCAAGGACCAAGTCCTGAGCCCAAGCCTAGTTTGAAAACTTGATTTTAACTTAGCAACCAATGCACATGCTGTCGGGGGTTGACACCTCCCACTAGTCAATTGGCTGATGCATCAGCTTGTGCATCTCGAAATGTCTAAACATACATATGTACGTCCACAAACTCATTTGCATGAACACATGTATGTGTTATACATGTCTTTATGTATTTATACTATAGTTGCCGCATTCATAAGACATGATAAACAGATAATTTGAGGAATACTAAATGCTAAGCAAAATGAGAGTAGCAAATAATAGAAAGCATGTTCCACAGATTTCTTGAAAAGCATAACTAATACCTGAATATCCACCAAGAACATAAGCCGCAGAATCAACTCTGTTAATTCCATCCCAAGCTCTTTTACTTCTTTCTTATTCTCCTCATTATTGTTGCTTTGGACTGTGGATTCAATACAAAGTTCATATGTCTTATCAAAAAGGCTATGAATGCCATAAAATATTGCTGGATTTCCAGGTGGTAGGTGACGGACCAAGGCTATAACACCAGAACTCAGCCCCTCCATCGGAGTAATGGCTGGATAAGCCTATCATCACAATAGAGAAAAAGAATTTCTAAAATTTTGGGGTAAGATATAATTAAGTACAAGAAAATGGAAAACTGCACCATAATCCAATGGAACATGGCATCAGATAATCTAATGGAACATGGCATTAGGTAGGTACTCCAAAGGAACACCTACCTCCACTGTCCATTATTGTACCTTTGGAATTCCTAACTCATACCATACTCCATTTCGTTATAGCATATGCTTTTACCCCTGCATACGCACCTCTAAAGTTCTTTGCATATAATAGAAAGCAACTCGCTCCTTCAGTTGGGTTCTCTGATCCTGGTCAGTTTCCTTCTCTGTTGATATAAAAGCTACGAATAGCGAATGTGAAGCCCGAGCCACTCTGTTAGCTGGGTGTTGCATGTATCTAAGTAAAACTACAATAAGGAAGACCAAAGTTCGATGGTTGCACCATCAGAAATAAGAAACAACAAAAATTATCCATCCACTAATAATTGGAACATATAATATAGCCAAATTCATGAATTGGCAATGGAAGAATAGTTCCATGGGGTCATGATTGTCCAATGAAGTTATGGATGGTGATGGAGAGAGAATAAAATCCAATGAAATACTACATGATCAACTGTTTCCATAAATGTGCAATCCGTAGGACAAATATGAACACCTAATGGGCTAGGATTTCCAAACCCCATTCGATTATAATATGCATTCTCTATGTATTATTTTCAATAATTTCATCATAAAAGGAGAAGAAGAGAATAAGATCCTATGAAATACTACATGATTAACTGTCTCTATAAATGTGCAATCCATAGGACAAACATGAACACCTAATGGGCTAGGCTTTCCAAAGCCCATTTGATTATAATATGCATTCTGTATGTATTATTTTCAATAATTTCATCATAAAAGGAGAAGAAGAAAGTGAGTAAATCTTCTAAATTCAAACACAAAAGGAAATCAGAAAATGAAATCAATTTGCCAAAGCAGTACTTGATATCCTCTGTTTTTGCACCAGACATTTTTCTTTGAACAGGGACCTTTTCTTTGAAAAGAACTAATGGGTACCTTTTAAAAAAAGAGAAATCCGGTGGGAAAAAAACAAGTAACATGTAATGAAGGATACAGGAACATTGTTGGAACTACAGATTTCTTGAATGCAGACACAGGGGTGTGCCCCATGCAAGTCGAAAGAACCCTCAAATAGAAGAAGACACGAGCAGTCTGCACATCATCTTGAGACCAAGAATAATCTGTTCCCTCCAAACATAAGCAACCTAAAAGACCAGATAAAATTGCTGCATCAATAACCTAAGCTCGGCTAAAACTAATGAATAACAAAAACAAAGTTGAAATCAAAAAAAGAAAAATGCACAGGAAAAAAATTTAAGAGTGAATTTAAGGGAAAGAGAAACCTCTATGATTCGTCAACTCATCATAAGGTGGTACTGAATTGATAAAAGAGGTGAGAGCAGTTTCATTTTCCTGAATGCACAACACAGTGCGGCGAATTGTATCTGTATACTCAGCCAACCGAACTCGCCTAAAATACTCCATACAAGAAAAGGCCATAAGGGTCTTCACTGATATATCGGCCTGAATTTCATTAGAAAAGCTTGGGGAGATCTTATGCTTTGATGCAGTAGAAAGAAAAACAACAATCATCAAGAATGCATCTTGGGCGATCTTCCCCAAAGCTTCGAGCATTTCCTTTCTCTCTCTAAACATGAAAACAATCCTTCTATGATAAGAATAAACGCTCTGGCAATAATCCAAAATCAAATTCTCCACCATCAACCTGTGTTCCTCTCCAGCTAATACATACTGGTTGCAAAAGGCTCTAGTAGTAGCCCCAGCTTCTCTAAACACTATACTAGCCATAGTTTCTCTCACTAGATCAGGCATGAAAACAACGAATTCCCCCTTATAATTCTCAGTTATCCTCTGATATAGACTGAGAAGAGGGAAGGTTTCAAACAATAAGGAGAGAGCCAGGCATATGAACAAGTGGGGATGGAACGAAACATGATCAATTCGAGAAACCCCAATTGAGATGCATTGAAGTAGAAGGCTTGCAAATTTATCATATTTAGGAATTAGGCTCTGATCCAAGTTGGAAATTATATCAGTTTTCAAAACCCAATCTCCTGCAACTAAATCTATTACACCTTCCAGTAGAATTCTTATTCCAATATTTCCACTTTTATCCAAATTGAAGGCCCTAAGAGCACCGGAAGCAGCCATGACTGAGACAAATTGAGAACCCAGAGCACTACTTTTTCTCTGTGATGTCTCGATTCTTCTACAGATTGATTCAATATTGTCATATTTACGAACTTGAAGAAAACCAGAGACCAACCATTCGATCAAATGCAAAACCATGAGTCCATGAGGAACTGAAACACATGGCCCATCTTCGACCACCCATAGGCCCAACAATAAGCCCAAAATCCGATCAAAGAAAAACCCATCATCCAAAGAAGAGAGAGAATACCCAACACCAGCTAAAACTTCAGGAATCATACCTTGCTGCTCGCCAATCTCTTCATGCTCTCCCTGTAAAAGTTCGCACACAAGTTCTAAACAACCCACCTTCGACCTTTCTGACAAATTGGGTATAGAAGCCATTACCCCAAGAAGAAGAATACCAACTGGAATGAGCCCCTTCCGACCGCCATGGCCACCACCAAGAAGCTTTTGGGTCTCTGAAACAGCGGACTCCAGCAAAGTTAAAGACGGATTGGAAGCTTTTCTCACCCATAAAGAAAGGATTCTCAGTATGATTTGGAAAGCACGGGGTCTCAGTTCTTGGGGTATGGGTAGAGAGAGAATGGCAAGGAGGAGTTTGGCTTGTGGGTCGGCGACATGCAGAGAGGAGAGAAAAAGTTGAAGTGTTTCAAGTGAATTGAGGTGCTCTTTTTGAAAGGCTTTGTTAGAGAGAGAAAGTCTCAGGTGAGACCATGCGTGAACAATATCTCTGGCTGAAGAGGGTTGAGGCAATGGGTGATGAGAGAGAGGGAGGCAGTTTCTTAGCCAATCTTCCAAAAATACGGGCTTCGGGTTCTGCATTTTTCTGAGCACTGCAATAACAAATATCAAACTGTACTTTATATCAGAAAAGAAATTTCCTGTATTTTATACATATTAAAAATCTTTCTTTTTGATGAATTATACATATGAAAAATCATTTTTGGTATGAAGAATACATAGCAAGAAAATGCATTTTTGCGTATATGAGAGGCCTCTCGGGATGGGCTTGTGTCCGGGGTGTCCTGATTAGATAGCCCCTGTAAAGAAACATGGAATATGCAAGTCCACTTAGATTGACAAAAGATGTGAATCTATGAAAAGTTTTTTGCAATTTTTTTATTTTTATCCTATATTTAATTTTAAGTTATATTAATTAACTTCTCACATTCATTTCAAACTTTACTATTGTTTTTTGAGTTAACTTTACTATTGTTTTTTGGGTTAGGTTTGTATAAGGTGTCAACCTTAAACAATCACAGTCTCAAAATTTCATTAAAAGATATATTTTTGGTGCCAAAACTATTATCATTCCTAAAAATCTATTTTTCACCCTATAATGTAATTGAAAGCTTAAAAAATAGTGCAAATCTAATAAATTAATGAGCACTCGAAAATCTTGAAAATAAACGATCTAAATAATGTATTACAATATGTACTATTTTTAAGACTTGAAATTCATTTTTTTCTTTCATATCAATATATCAAGATGATCAATTGAAAAATTTTATAGTGATAAAACTACCTTTTTCGATGGGTTTTTGAGGTGTACCTTACTTCTATAGTATAATGTTAAGTGAAAGGTTTCTATGCTTCCCCTACGTCATAGAAATTTTATCCTCCTACCATCCAGCCGTCCAATTTTGATCAAGAGAGTCACTCACCGTTTGATCTTTGATCCGACATCTCAAAGTATTTTATTTTTAGTTTTTTTTATACAAATTGTATGAATATGAAATTTGGTATGTACCATTTTCTCATTGGGGCGCACCTATAAAAAATATTAAAAATAATTTTTCGATAAAATATAACAATCCAAAATACCCATTGAAACTTTCAAGAGTATTTTGGTCATTTTATTTTATTGAAAATATTTTTTTATATATTTTTCGCTAGTTTGAGTTTAATAGAGGAATGGGCGTCCAACATTTGGTGTCAAAATAGTTTATCGAAAAAACATTAAAAATAAAATAGTGTAGATACATGACATTGTGATTGGGGAAATGTTAGCCCTCTATTCAGAATTGGACGGTTGGATAAGGAGAACGATAGAACTTCTATGCTGTAGGAGAAGCATAAAAAGCTTGCCCCTAAGGTTGATACCTTATATAAACTTCTTCCTTGTTTGTATGATGAAATCCTTAGTTTTTATATTGTTCCTTTCATTGTATGCTAATATATTGTTTTCTTACGTTCCAAAGATTTTATTAATGTCAATACATTAGAATTGTATCAAACAATGTAGGACTTATGAGTCGCTTAAGGTGTCCAAAATAACAAGCAAATTTATTGGGCCTAAGTTTCTTAACAATATGATATTTGAGCGCCATCAAGTTAATCTTATACGGATCATAACAAGGAGACATTATAACTCAGCGGATATGGATGCAATTGAGTGAAACCCGATAAAGAGCCATTGTAATATTGAGAGAGAAATTTATTTACTCAAACTATAGAAAACCAAACCAATAAAGCTTGAGAATTTTATTTGCTCAAACTATAAAATTCTAAGAGAGAGTGATTGAGCAACGATTAAGGCATGAAACAAACGTATTTGAAAACTAATTTAGTTTTATGCCAGTAAGGTTAACAAACAATGCTATTTTTCTACTTAAGCAATTGATTTACATAGTCTTTATTGATATAAAGAAGCTTGTGATAGAGTACCTCGATATATGATTTGGCTGGTGTTGGAAAAAAAATGAGTATTTAGAAATTACACTAACTTGGTGAGAGACATGTACAATGGAGCGCTAACTAGTGTACGAACAACTAGTAGTAAGACGAGTGAGTTTTCAGTGACAACAGGTCTACATTAAAGGTCAGCATTGAGCATATACCTTTGTGTCTTAGTTATTGACAACTTAACTAGGCACCTACAAGATGAAGTACCACGGTGCATGTTGTTCATATATGACATAGTTTTGATTGATCAGACCCGAAACGACATCAACACAAAGTTAGAACTTTGGAGAGATGCTCTAGAATCCAAATGCTTTAAAATTAATCAAACTAAGATAAAGCATGTAGAATGCAAGTTTAGTAATAATAAGAGTAACAATAAAGTAGTTAAGATTGATTACTAGGAAGTACAAGAAATCTCATACTTTCAATATATTGGGTTGATAATCTTGGGAAATAGAGAGATTAAGGAAGATGTCGCACATAAGATTCAAGCTGGATGAACGAAGTGGAGATGTGCAACTGGAATTTTATATGATCGCCGCATATTAATGAAGTTAAAAGGCAAGTTCTATTGGACAGCTATGAGATCAGCTGTGCTCTATGGGGTGGAATGTTAGGTCAACAAATAACAATATACCCATAGAATGAGTGTAGCAAAGATGGATGAGCGACAAAATAAAAAAAGGCAGAATTCGAAATGAATCCATATGGGAACATTTAGGTGTGGTACCAATAGGTAATAAGCTGAGAGAAAGTAGACTTGGGTGGGCTGACCATGTGTGGCGCCGACTCAGTACAATTGTTAGAAGGTGCGAGTTAGTTCAAGTAGAAGAATTGAAAAGGACAAAAAGTCGGCCCAAAAGGAAATGGTTAGAAGGAATATTAAAAATTATAGAGACTTTTGGCCTCACTGAGAGTACAGCCTTGAATAAAACAGAATGACGTACCAAGATTCCTGTAACCGACCTCAATTAATTGAGAAAAAGCTATAATGATGATGGTGAACTACATAAAACCAACTTCAAAACATAAAATAATTTTTTTTTTACCAAATATGGAATCCTAATTTTTAACCAAGGGAAAATTATAAATACCCCAAAATGAACTTTGTAGATATCCTTTGATCTTTTTAGAGCAAGATTTTATACTACGAGACCATGTACTTCTATTACAATGAGGTCACAAACACATCTAGCCATCCGATTTCAAATTGGACACTTTAAGATGCATCATGAACTTCAAAAAAATTTCTTTGAATTTTGAACCTAATCAACACTCACAACCACTCAACTACTCAATTTGAAATATGATAGACATGAGTGATTGAAACTCCTATTATACTAAAAATAAGTCTATTTGTGCCTCCTAATTCATGTATTTGAAGCTGGATTTGAAGAAAAATGGATTTGTAATAATGTTGAATGTATTTAGGGTTAGAAACATAAATCAAAGTGAAAAGGTTATATAAGGTGCCAACCTAATTCTATTGAGCTAAAGCGCACCTTAAAATCCTCATAACAGTGTTCCGATGTTGAAAAACCCTCTTTAACTAATCATCTCAACCTCGAGATGCATAAACACAAAAATAATTTCAAACCCTTAAAGACATACATCTTATGACAATTTATTTGGACAGTCCGTTCTCAAGATTTTTAAGTGTATATAGAAGTAACTGACCTAGATTACCTTTATAACTTTAAATTTCACAACTAAGTATGAAATAAATTTTCAACCCATCACAAGTCCCCAAAACTTCATCTAGCACAATTTTCCGGCACTAAAACTAAATCACCGAGCAAAATGTGAAGATGTGCCTTACTACGATATAACGAGGTACCTTATACAAACCCACCACATATTAAACCCGTCAAGTGAACACTGGATTTGAGGCTTCAATTGTGTATAAGAGAGAGACAGAGCAACCAGCGAATTTGTACAAAAACAAAAGAAAATTGAGAAAATACTTTTCTCACTAACTCAAAAAGCCTGCTGCATTCATACGTAATATAATCAGCAATGTGCCCTCAAAAACCATCCAAAACTTGAACAAAACATAGAGCTCTTCCTTAAATAATACAATTTCGCCAACATATTGAACTACTACTACGCCCTCCCTCTCTTCAATAAAGGAATTTCGCCATCCTTTTTTCAGGGATAAGAAAAAAACACCCCACATTTAATTCCTTCTCGAAAAGCTTCGATTTCCACCTCTTCCTCCTCCGCCACCACTCCTAGCGAAGAACCCTCCTCTTCCACGACCCCCACCCCCACTTCTACCTGAAAATCCGCCGCCTCTTCCTCCTCCACGCCATCCATTATTACTACCACCTCTGTCCCTGTTAGTTTCTTGCAAAGGCGGCAGCTTGTCCAATACCTCAACACTGACCATGTCTGCATTTTCTTGACCTGCAAAGTTATCACATTAAAAAAAAAAAAAAAGAAGAAAAAATATTTCCATTTCCAAATGGATTATTTGACTAGGGAAAATCCCTACACCAGGGACATGGAGTTATATGGTACACCATGGAGGTTATTCACCATCAGTTCCTGATGATGGATGGTGGAGATTGTTTTATGCTGGTGAACGTCACATGGAACTAACGTTTGTCTTTACCATTCATTGTTGGGGACAGATGGGGGATGCTCTTGAGAAGTACCATAAAGCAGTGTTTTAAAAAGCAGACCACCCAAGGCATGACGCCATCACACAGGCTTAGAAGGCCAAATTAGGCAGATACCCCAAATTAGGTGGATACCCCTGGGCGCCCACCCAAGGCCTGTGCCGCACCCGCCCACTAAAGGAATACAAAAGGGGTAAAATTGTGAGTTTTAAGTTCATTTGAAACCTAAAACCCAGACTATTTTAAGAAGAGAAAACCCAAAAAGAAAAAATTTTTGGCACTTGACTACCCCCGACTATTTTAGTGAGAGAAACCCAAAAAGAAAAAAATTTCTACTGGCCCCCAACCCCCCTAGCGCTTTTTGAAACACTGCCATAAACCATACACCACCCATTTCGTATTAATCAGAATCAAAACTATAAAATGGTCCTAAGATTCCCTGGTTACTTTTTCCTTTAAAAGGGAAGACTCCATTGGCTACGGATCAACTGCCAATTGTAAATTTATAAAGACATTATGACTTCCTCTATTGATTGAAATCTTGAACAATGCAGAGCAACTGCAAATCAATAATTCAGCTATCTTGCTTCCATTATATCTTGATATCTTCCAAAAGACTATTTTGTAATAGAAAACCTGATCCCCTATGAGCAATGCCATTAAACCCAACAAAAAGGTTTGCTAGACATAAAATGGTTACTTCATTTCATGAAAAGAACCTCAATATATCCCAATTGATCCCTAACTAGGCCTAGAAATTTATTGTTTTTCTAACTGAAACAAAATAACAATAATAATAATTAACTGAGGCATTGCTCACAGAAAACAAGGTACAATCAAACCTGTAATTCCAAACTGCCTTAATATACATACCCGCAAGGAACATGTCCAAATCTTCACTAGGCACATCAAACACTGCACCTTGACCATCAGCAGTAAGAGAGAGACCCTTGATCGCAGATAATTTTTCCTCAGGCATGAACCTCCTCAAGACGCTGAAAGCAAACCTACATTAAAGTTGGCAACAAATCAGGCTAATCTATTTAATAGGCAGTTCAGATATGATCACAAATGAACAGTCACTAAATGACATTGACAAGTTAGTAGAATGATTCAACAAGTCATCAACAAAATCCCAGGCTACGTAGAATTTAATTAAGAACTTGTGTACACGGAGAAATATTGTTTTATACTATGTATGGAATCCAAGTAAACAAGACAAAAGATCAAGTTAAATTTACAAGAGAATAACATTCAAAACAATACAGGCATTTAGGTTCTTTCTTAAGGATCTCAGTATTATGTCACTGGTTTTGAATTATGAGTTTTGAATATGAGAAATTCATGCTGTTTCCTATTGGTTTTCTCCCCTTTCTTGGTTCAAAGAGCCATTGTTTCCTATATTTCAATTATAAACAGAGAGAAAATTACTGATACTTACGATGGTGTATACATCACTCTCCCAGTCTGAAGATGAACAGTGGTAAAGTTGTCCTGGCAAGTAAGAAGCGACCTCCTCTTTATTTCGGTATAACCCTGTTTGATATAAAACACTCAATAATAAATGAACCACAAATGTTTCTGTTAATAAATTTTCACTTCACTTAAATTTCAACTTACAGCAATTTTCGCTAAAGCTTTGGCAACAATGTCCACTGCCGGAAGACCACCGGATTTCAATAATTCTTCAGCTTTTGCTCTAAAAACAGGCACCACACTGCATTCATTGTGTAGCAGCTGTTAGCATACAAGTACAACGACAATTCCTCTCAATAAAAAAATAGAAAATTCTTTTTGGGGATCACTTTTGCCACCGTTTCTATTCATACCCAGAACATGGGTGGAAATGCCAAAACCAACACAGGATAGTCCGCTGATGTAGAAAAGTTCTTATAGTAAAAATATGCAATTCCTCTCAATAAAAAAATAGAAAATTCTTTTTGGGGATCACTTTTGCCACCGTTTCTATTCATACCCAGAACATGGGTGGAAATGCCAAAACGAACACAGGATAGTCCGCTGATGTAGAAAAGTTCTTATAGTAAAAATATGCATACAAGTAACAACCCCTTTCTACTTAGTGGACAGAAAGCTGATAAAACACTAGAGTAAAGTATTATTTCAACCACAAGAATAAAAGGGATAATAATCTTTTCAGAAAGAAACAATTTATATAAGGTTGCAACATTAAACTATAGAATTCAAGTGCACCTCAAAAACCTATCGGAAAAGGCTGTTTTGATGTTGGGAAAACCCTCTAATTGATCGTCTTGACATCGAGATGTATGGATGTGGAAAAAAGAAGATTTTGAGTCCCAAAACAGTGCCTCTTGTAACATATTATCTGGACTGTCCACTTTCAAGTTTATAATTCTACTTGATTTGAACCATTTTTGGAGTTTAAAATTTTATAACTAGAGATGAAAATAGATTCTCAGGCAATCCTAAGAATTTTTTACAACAAAATTACTTCTCGAGCAATCACCTTACTTTGATTGTTTAAGATTGCAACCTTATGCAAACCAACCCCTTTCAGAAAACCCCTAGAAGAAATAAACATTACCTATCGGAGACTTGGGAAATGGTTTCAGCAGCCCCTGAGCCTGCAGATTGGGCAATGTCTGCAGGCTGAGGAGCAGAAACGTGCTCGAATTTGACACCGGATGAACGCTCTATCTGAGAGACCATATATGATTTCCTTCTGTCATAGAGCATTACAGCTACTCCAGTATTGCCTGAAAATGTTCTCTATTAGTCATTGGAAGAAATTTTTAAGCAAGAAAAATGCAAAAATAATTGTTGATGGGCCACTAACTTACCAGCTCTTCCAGTACGACCAGATCGATGAATGTAAGTTTCCACATCTCGTGGGGGATCACACTGCAGAATGCTAACTGTGTTAAAAACTTGAAAACATTTGTTTACGATCTATGTTTTCTTGAGTTCATAGCAATCTCCTGAGAAATACTAAAGAAACAAAACCTGAATAATTAATTGCACATCATTGATGTCCAGGCCACGTGCCGCCACATCCGTGGCCACCAAGACAGAGAACTTGCCCGATCGAAATCCAGCAAGGGTGACCTGCAAGAAAGATTTCCATGTACAAGAAACTTTTAACTTTTTTCTTTTCATCCTCAAGTTATTGAATTTCTTGATTGAGAAGGGAGGGAAAAAATTACAATTTTAGGTACTTTCCACTTGGGAATAACAAAAAGTAAAACAGGGTATCACAAAAAACATTTGCTCTCATAATATTTCCAGGCTAACACTTGTTTTGCTCTTGATTGTCATGTTACTCTTTGCTTTGCCAGACCATAGGATCTGCAACTAGAAAGGATTAACTTTGTTTCTCAAAGGTGGCTGAGTAACATACAGACATCATAACCAATTGCCAATCTCCTTTTGGATAGTTCCTATTCGTTTATTCCCTACAGATTTCCAACTAAAATCATAGTTTACTGCTGCTCATGCTTTCGTAATATCATAACTATATACCCCTGGCATCAAATAATTTTTAATATAGTAGAAAATAGTTTCATAAATCCATTTCTATTTCCATTTTCTAAGAAGGTAAAATTAGAAGCAGTCTATAATTCTCAACATGGTCTAGTCTATCAAAGTCATCTAATAAGCCTAGGTAAAGGAGGTGGTTGCGCTAGGTACGCATCAAACGTAAAACTTGTCACATCGTATCATAAATCCTAATCCCATGTTATATGCTCGTGCTAGGGCGTTCCCGTTAAGCAACGCACTGCACCACCCTGGTGCAACAAGAAATAAGCAAGGGTTAGCGAGGGCGTTCCTCGAAGCACGTGTTGTACCGATACCCAGGTGCAGTGAGAAATGAGTAAGAGTTAACTAGGGCGTTCCCCCGAAGCAACGCACTACAACAAGCCGACCCAAATAATTGGGATAAGGCTTGGATGATGATAATGATGGTTCAGTCTATCAAAACCTGTGAACAAAAATTCAGTCGCCCAGCTGCCTCGCCGACAAACTGTCACAGGCATGCTAAGGCGGGCTCAAGGCGGTCTGGGTGCCCACCTAGTGCTATCCCTTAAATAAATAAATAAGGAAATTCAAATCCACCCAAATAAAAATAAGCCTAGTATTGCCCTTCTCTCTCTCGGGTCCATGTGCTCTCTACATAAGAGAAAAAGGAAAAGAAGATGACCTCCCAGTGTTCGATGCGAGGTCCCTCTCTCTCTCTCTC